GGAACTGCGCGTCTCATCCGCGCGCAGCGCTTAGGATCAACAGCAAAGCTGTGCCACGCAATCTTGTATTATGTCTCTCTGGTTACATTAATCGTCCAGCATTGAGATACCCCCATTAGCTCTGTGAACGTTTGCTCTGCTGAAATAAAGAGTCACTGCTTTTAGAAATGCTATTTAAAGGATAAGCGACGAGCTTTTAAACCTCAAAATAACCCAGTCACACTTAAATTTATCATAGATATATTTATATCCTTCAAGTATGTCAATAAATCTGTCAAAAGAAGCACGTAGTAATGTTGATACACCGGTTTATACATTCGAAATCACCGCGCTGCGATAAGAAATGTCGACATTACCAGGATCTCCAGAGCTCACATGTCCTGCTCGATGTAGCAAAAGAAACCTCATTATCTTATCTCCCCGCATAGCGTTTTTTGCACGACTATCCAATTACTCGCTATTTAAATATAACCATTGCATTTCCTCTGCATCAGATGATTCAAGTTATCCGTAATTTAAAACTGTTTCGGTAATGACTGCTGGAAATTTTCCGCTTTATTAAATTCCGGTAAGGTAATATAAGGTAACTATATACTCTGTTATACTCGCCTATACGCTATATTAATATAATGCAAACCCAAAATTCCAAACCAAAATCCTAACCCGATCACTTACTCTAACTCAAACCATTGCGCTCACCCTAGCTCTAACCCTAACCCTTACATTAACCGTACTCATAACTTTTACCCCAATGGTCAATTATTTAACATGCCTTACCGCCACATTCGATTGTCTGCCTTAATTCTGGCTACATTTTAGTGATTGCCATCGCGAGAGCTATACCCTAATGTCAGGTAACCAACCTCATAACCTCGTAACGAACACTCTTTATAGACAGTAACGACGACGAAGACGAAGAAACCCTAACGATGCTCAAAACGATCAAATCAACAATTTATGAAACTACCGTGTATACAAAAAAACCGCTTCCAACGTCTCCTCACGCTATGCCTAACCCTAACCCTAACCCTAACCCTAACCCTAACCCTAACCCTAACCCTAACCCTAACCCCATCCCTTACCTTAGCCGTACCAATAACCATTACCCTAAAGGGTTACCCTCAACGTCTCTTCTCACCCCCTTTTCCGATCCAGATTCGTTTACACTCACTCGCTTTGCTCTCTCTCCCCTAGGAAGATTCCCACGGGAGGAGTACCTGTGGTACAACAAGCGGAAGGAGATCGGAGAGGCGTATCTAACGCGGGCTGCCGACTACAGCGCCACGATCCTGTCGCTCGTCGCCAACTACACGCGCGGCGACCTTCACGCGACGATAGCGACAATGCGACACACGCTGATCGCAGCCGACGTCCAGCCGCCCGACGTGCACATGGCCTCCTGGTGGTTCGACAACATGACGCAATACATCAACACGCTGAAGCGCTTCGAGGGGGCGCTGGGGAGGCAGATCGTCGCGCAGCTGCACGAGCGACTGTCGACGTTGCGCGACGACATAATCCTCTCGGCGACGACCGTCGTCTGCACGGTCGCGATCTGTCCCGTCATCGCGCTCTCCGTCTACCGCATGACGAAGTCCCTGCAGATCTACGCCGCTAGCCTGCAGAAGCGCACCGAGGAACTGAACAAGGAGCAGAAACTCACCGATAAACTCCTCTACCAGATGCTGCCGAAAAGCGTCGCCGATCATTTGAAGCAGGGTCGGTCGGCGTCGCCGGAGCATTACGACTGCGTGACGATCTATTTCTCGGATATCGTCGATTTTACGCGGATCTGTTCACGAAGCACGCCGTTTCAAGTCGTCGATATGCTGAACACGATCTACAACGCGTTTGACGATAAAGTCGACTTGTTCGATGTTTACAAGGTGGAAACGATCGGTAAGCGGACGCTCGTGTGTCGAGCTGGGTTAACACTACCGACTTTGTGTTGGCGAATTGCCGAATTGTACCAACTTCGCAACTTCGCAACTGACAATCGGCAGTGTAAACGCAAAAGTTGCGCGTCCAACCGCTCGATAGCAACTAGTTAGAAGATCAGAACATGATCTAATTTCGCAAACTCGCAGTTGGCGTGTTGGACGTTTTTTTGCCAAAATGGCCAATCAGAGAACAGCAATCAGGGGTGTGTCCCTCCACCCAGAGGGAGACCATTTGCGCGCGCGTTTCTGCGGCACGTGTCTGAGTATGGGAAATGGTATTTGAGGTACTTTTGAGTACAAGTACAGCCTTCATTCTGACTATCACATGACTATGTACAGTGTCATTATTGAATATGTAGTGGTGACCACCGCTGAGATGAAGGCGACAGCAAAACTCTTTCTTGGAATTGTGAAAAAAAGCTGCAAGAAGGTTGTAACCTCTGCTTTACCACTCAATTACTGTGGCCGAGCAAGCGCGCCACGTAGCGGCATAATGCCGCAGGTATTAAGCGCGTACGTCATTACACATTTATATTAATTTGTTGAAATTGCTCATTTTACTAGAGCGAGAGAGAACGAGCGAGAAAGAGAGAGAGAACGCGCGAGAAAATGAGAGGAGGAGTAAGAGAAAGAGAGCGAAAGAGAAAGAGGGAGAGAGTGCAACTCGGTGATTTATAAATGGTGTTCGCGCATGCGCAATATCTCCCGAGACAATTAATATTATGCAATAATTATGCATTTGAAATGAAGAGGAGTTATCCTAGCATAGATTTATATGATAACATTCCATCAGTAGACCTTACTTAAGAAATAGGAAGAAGATCTTATGGTATGTTATGGCATGTAAGGTCCGCGCTGCATATACCAGTCATGATTCGAAGAGCGGAACAGCAAGTCAACTAAAATCGCAGACTCGACAGAACGAGTATCGTCGGGGAATGTATTGTATGTAGCACACGCGAACGCTGAAAGTGAACTCTTCGCTCGACCCCTCGCTCCCGCAGCTCTGATTGACACTTACACATGCGACATCTTTCGAGAGACGTATTAGGAGCAGCAGCTAATGGCTGTGCTAATTACACGTATGTTTCGTAGGAGTATGCGCAGCCGGTCGTCTTGTGTGCCATAACATCGAGCGTGCATTTAGCTAATGAACTCCTGATAATTCGCTACCTTGTGATAGGCGTACATCACTAAACGCAAAACTCTGATGGCTAACTCAGGCAATTCCATAATTACACACGCATGTCACACGGCGTGGCAGTGGATGGCTTGATGGGTGACACTTCTGCGGTACACGCAAGACAGCAATCCGTGTGCGAACAGGCGCGCATCATTACAGGTGACATATATGCATTATGCAACAGTAGCCTTCCGCCAATTGTTCACCAATGTTGCACTATTTTCGCTCCTGGAAAATGTCTTCGTTATTTTTTTTGCGGTAAAATTCGGAACTAGAGTGCACTAATTTGCGTTAGGCGCGTAAGGTAAATGCCTCGTGAACGTCTAGAAGGCATTAGAAGTGAGATTGGTCTGTCGTGTAATTGTACCATTGCGTCAAGTGGTGTAGCCATGTCGGTGACCGGTCGGCCATTTCTGTGTTTGAAACGGGATCCGACTACATGCTGAAAATTCTCGAAAACAATCCGGCAAGTGTTTTGAGTAAAGATTGGCCTTGAATCTGTAATCATTTAGCATGAATAAAGTGAATGTCGCGTATGTGCCGAAACTTTCTGAGTATTTTTATTTAATTTCTGTGATTAAACTCAGACCTGCTGCCTATATGGACGCCCTTTACAGTTGTCCAACACCTTAAAGGTTTGGTTACGCTTGAATCCAATTACGGGAGAAATTCGTCAACGCATCGCAGCGTATATGCGATATTACTTGTAGTTGCTCGCTTCTATTAATTACATTCCTACTAATTACGTTCAGCTAATGAAGTCGAACGAGTGTGAACTAACGACTGCTTCTAATATTGTATTGCGTGGGAGAAATCGTTATCAGACGTCATTAGAACGGCTGGAAGGTTAGTGAAGCGACTATAGAGTGGCAGCGTGAAATAGTGAATATATATAACTAACTATACGCTTACCGCGTACAGTACGCGTATAGCGAAGGTAAATTATAGATCTAGATCTAATATCATCAATTGTTACCGTATATAGCGTATATATATATATATATAATCCGGGTATATACCGGGACATAACTTGGTTAACATTTTGTTGTGTGAACGGAGGCTATAATAATACTCGTCATTTTATATACTCGTGATATCGCATTCTGTCCATTTTTTCTCTCGCGCGAGAATCACAACCCTACGTCAAATATCGGTACACTACACTCATTCCGCCAGTGAACCATCCCTCGACGACAACACACGGTGGAAGCAGGAAGACACTCAGCTAAGCTACTGATCCACACAAATGTATTCGTCACTTCGTCGGGAAGTGCGACCGAGGAATCGTAGCGAATGATGAGCGACCACACAAGCAGTGAGAGAACACATGCGACGACGTACCAGCGAATGAATGAACAAACCAGGCTGATTACGAGCCAGCGATCAATATGAGCGCGCACGCGCTTGCTCACACTCGCACTCTCTCTCTCTACCGACGTGCGCTTGCTCACACTCACACACTCTCTGCCGACGTCGGTCTGCGAGACCCTCCAGGTTGCCATCGTCGTCGCGAGATGACCAGGAAACGCAGCATATCTGCCGACGTTAACGATCTGCAATCTCTCCAGATGCGAATTGTATCGTCGGGTCGTTCGGTTCGTAACCTGCGCGCACTCCACGCATCCCGTACGTCGCTGCGCGTCGTCGGAAGCTGATAGAGTGTCACCTTCGTGCTCCGCATCCTCTCTCACACACAACTCGTCTTCTGCTTTCCCTCTCTCTCTCTCTCTCTCTTTCTCTCTCTCTCTCTCTCTCTCTCTCTCTCTCTCTCTCTCTCTCTCTCTCTCTCTCTCTCTCG